TGCGGCAAAAACTAGGGGGCAACGTAAAAGGACAGGGAAGAGAAAGCGAGAGGGGAGAGGTTTAGGTTGTAGGAGTGAAGGGGAGAGCGGGCGCGGAGCTAAACCGCGAGTCCATCTCCGTCGAATCGAAAATTAACAAGGAAATCAGGCAATCACGGTTTTGGGAGTCGGGCATACCCTTGACTGAGTTCAGCCAGGCGACGTTGCCCCTCCCCCCCTCCCCTTTCCCCTTCCCTGATTGCTTTCACAGCCCGACCGGCCGGCACATAATTTGCCGGGGGTACATGGCGTTGATGGCCAAGGCCCCCGATCACGGCTCTCTTAATTGAGTCGGTTATGACTCTGCACACCAAACGCGGGGGCGGCGGCGCGTGGCGGGGCGTGGGCGGGGTGCGGCGGGGATTAAATCGCATTCGCAGAGCGCGCCGCTGGCGGGGATCTCCCGGGCGGGCGCGTGGGGACGCTCGGCGATAGCATTTCCTCCCCCGCCTCGCCCCCTCTCGATCCCCCTCTCCCCTCCCCAAGCTCCTGCGTGCACTCCTCCCCTTACGCCCTCCTTTATAGGGAAGCGGAGCCCCGGAGCCCACCCGAGCAGAAGGCCGATTGATGGACGATGAGGCGTTTATGCGATGGCCATGTTGGGGTCGCATGCGGACCGTTGTGCCAGTGTGTTTGTGTGTGTGTTTGAGCGTTTGTGTGTGAGTGCATGAGTGTGCATGCGGTTGTATTGTGGGAGAGTGGGGGGAGGGGGGGGGTTGTCCCCCACTGTGTATGTATACAGCGAGCGAATAAGGGAGCAGACGCCGCACTGCCGCGCGACCGTCAGTACGCTCTGATACGAGACACATTCTATTCGCTGAATATGTGTGTTTCAGACCACTGCCCCGCTGCTCACCGTCTGCGGCGCCGTGGCGCGGCGAGTGCTGGTGCAGGAATTTATCTGTTCTCAGGACAAAGAGCAACAGTTCTGAATGAGACAAGTTAGGCGTACACTGGAAACGCGATTTTGCCAATGTCGAACACTCTTGTATGTGTGTGAATGTCCATTCGTAAGCTAAAGGGGGTATGCGTGTGAATTTTCCTTTGAAAACGTGTGCATTTTTTAAATGAAAATTCACACACTTGAGCCTCTCCGTGTACGAATGGCATTCAAACACTCGCGTTGCCAGTGTAGGACAAAGTAGGAATACGTAGTGGTCGGGAGGAGGTTCGCCTCCTCGCAGGGTTGGGGGG